TATAGTAAATAAAAGTATTAATGATATAATAATTATATAAATTTGTTTTTAGTAAATGAAGTAAAATATAGTTTTCATTCTTTTCTTTATTATTATTTTACTGTCTTTTTTTCAATTTAAAAAATAAAAAGAAATGATTATATTCATTTATTCTTTCTTTATTTCTTATTCATTTATTCTTTTTATATTGATTTGTATATTTATTTGAAGATATGTATTATAAATTATTTATTGGTCATTTACAATTTCATTTATTCTATTTTATGAATATAAGTAAAACAGTTCGTATTTCAGGTTGTTTTAATTTATGAAAATATGAAATTTAATACTTCTTTTATTTTTCCTATTTAGTCTTGTTGCATATTTTAATTTAATAATTACTCTCATATCTTTCTGATTATACACTCTGACAATACCATATTGTTTAATTGATGATTTAATTAACGTAGGAATAATATTTAAATCCATTACTTTTACATATTTTTCATATGAGTAATTATTAATTCTCTTTATTTTCTTTTTGTTCATTATTCATTGAAACGAGATATAACAAATGATTTTGACAGTTACATCAATTAAATCATACATCATCATTTCAATGGCATTTAATTGAATTTGATCTATTTCATAATTAGAATGATTTACATTTTGAAGTAATTGATGAGATTATAATTCATTAATCAAATTGATATTATTCATTCTGGTATGATTTTTTAATTGATTAAATAATATTAAATCAAGTTATTAAATAAGATGATATCTGTATGATATAATAATAGATAATGGTATTATGATAATAAATACAATAAATGATGAAATATCAAAGTTATTTAAAGTTATCATTGTTGTTTGATTATATCATAACCACAATTAACTCATCTATTATAATATATTGAATAATTTTATTTAACATTAATTTACAAAATATATTCATTATTATGAATATTGCTCATTTAGAAATATAATATATAGATAAATTATATTTTTTTGAGATAAATGAATCATCAAATGTATTAAAATGTATTACATTATATTATGATAAATAAAAGTACAATAAACACAAATACAAATTATCATACTTTTGATGATAATGATTGTTTTATAGATTCTATTCATTCAGATAAATATATTTTTATTGAATTCTTATCACTATACTTATTGAAACATATTTCATCATCATTAAATAATAATTTTATACTAAAAGTCATTATAAAATGATAACAAAACAATATAAATAATTAATAATCTCATTTATATTTAATATTCAATGTATATAATCTGATTTTTTTTTAATAATACAATATGTAAAATAAGAATGAAATTAAATGATAATCAAATCATTTATTAATGATGTTAATATATTATTTCATATTTAATAATTCATTTTTTTATTAATCAAATAATAATTGATAATTTAGAAATAACATATTCATTTATTAAATTCATTAATCTAAATCAATTTCTTTATTTATTTTTCATTTATAATGTTTTATCTTATCTTATTCTCTTTTAACAATATTCAATATAGTTCAATATGCTATATCAAATATTAATGATAATCAAATCAATATTTAATTCATTTATATAATGATCATTCATCATTTTGAATGAACATATTATTTAATTATTCATTACAATATCCAAATAACTTATTAATGAATAAATAAATGAAGGTATTTCATTTAAATTAGATACAATATAATTAAATAGTAAATTCAATATTAATTTAGTGACCAAAAACATAGAAATGAGAAAGAGTAAAATTAAGTAATGGTGAGTTTAATGAAAATGAAATAAAATTCATTATCATTCAAAATAACAAAATAAATAAATATGAAAAAGATAATATTCTATTAATAGAAATAAAAAATAAGATAAAAATTATAAATTATAGTATAAATTATAATAAAATAATTATAGTTTCTTTCAAACAATATCCAACTTCCATTCTACATTTTACTTCAGATACTGTACTTGTTTGTTTTGTTATTTAAAAAGCATTGAATTTCAATTATACATTTCATCAAATACATATAGTTTTCCACTCTTGCTACCAACTGCAAGTACATGGTTGCTCATTGTTACTGAACTAATATCAACAGAATCTCCACAACTAAGAGATCTTCTTAAAACTCCTTTATAATCAAGAATTTGAACTAATCCTCCATCAACCCCACACACAATAGAATTATCTCTAACATCAAGGGCACATGTGTTGTTTGATGAACTAGCAAAGTAATGATCTAGTTTTCTTGAATCCCATAAACAAATAATTTTTTCATTCCCAACAGTAGCAAACTGAGAGTCATTTAACGTTTCTAATAAAGTAATTCCTGATTTGTGTGGTCTATATTTTGTTACCATGGGAGATGATGATCTAATATCCCATAAATGAACTGTTCTATCTGCTGATCCACTAATAAAACACCAATCATTTAATGGTCTGGATACACTTATCTTTCTTACGTGTCCATCATATGTAAATTCGATATTTCTTTTAAAGTCTTCATAAGTTACTATTTGAACTCTTTCATTCCAAGTTAAAAATCGTGTTCTTTTTAATGGATAGAACCCTTCCATTTTTCCATCTGGAACATCAAACACAAGACTACTTTTTGGATTTGTTTGATGAATATATTTAACTGTTCCACACTTATATGCAACCACAATATAATCATCTACAAACTTTGTAGTAACTAAACTTGAATTTGGACCAATGAATACTTGTGCATTTTCTTTTGAATTATATTTCCAAAGTCTAACTTTTCTATCAGAAGACCCGGTGACTATAGCTTTACTACAACTATGAATATCTACACTTCTAATTATATTTGTATGTCCTTCATAAATTTTTGGTTGAATATTATTTGTGTTATTAGTTTTATTGATAAATTCATTATCCTGTGTATTTGTATTAATAGCGTTATGCCTTTCATAATCTAATCTACAAGAATTACATGCATTTTTATTTGTTTCTGTTATTATCTTTTCTTCAATTTCTGTAGAATTTGAAACATCTTGCACAGATATTTCTTTTCTTTCTTCACTTGAAGATATGTCATTTCCAAATTTAATCATTGTTCCAATTAATTGCATTAAATGTTTATTACAAAATTTAAGAGAATTAACACTTTTTTCATCTAAATATTCACATATTTTTTTTAATGCAGTAATTGGTAATTGAGGAAAGAATGAATGTTCGTCTGGTCCATATTTTTCTAATTCAACCTTTAATGATGATGATTTTTTTTCTTCATTTTCTGAAGAAGTTCCACTTTCAGTTGTTTCATAAGAAAGTTCTTTCATATTTTCTAAGAATTCAATAAACACTTTGAGGGATGATTGGGTATCTTCCATAGTTTCTTCTTTTACAGTAATATCAAAGTTATATTGAATTTTAATAGTATTATTTTCATCTCTTGAATAAAATACATAGGCGTTTTGAAAGAAAAATACTCTTTTATGATCAGATAATTGTGAATGAGCAAATCGACACATTGGTGAATGAATTGAATGAAAGTGAATTAAAGAACATATCGATCCATAAATCCATAATGAGATTTTAAGATGATCAGAAGAAATATTATTATGAGGCTCTTTATGAACTATTGTTGAGCCATCTCCAAGTGATTTGATAAAATGACATCTATTACCAAAAACCATTGAAACCAATGACTCTCTTGTAAACTTTTTTTTACTAATAATTTCAAATGATCCATGAAGAATATATGATGTCTCTGATTTGTTTCTTGACAACAATGAAATACGTGTATTTTCTTTATCCAAGACAAGAGTTCCATTCAATGGTCTTCCAGGAAGAACAAGTTCATAACCATTTCTTTCTACTGCAATTGACTCAGGAACATCAGATATATTTGATGGAAGATCAACTAAAGTTTTGAAAAAACGTGTTAAAAACATCATTTGTCTTTGTAAGGCAATACCTACATTTGTTTCATGAAGCCAAGGAATAACAACACAATTAAGTAAATACGTAACACGAAATTGAGAATTTGTAAGTTTTTCAAATACAATACACCAAATTAAATGACCACCATCTCTAAAAGGCATAATTGAAGAACGAGGATCATAAATACTACATAATAAATAAATATTTTTATTTTCTATTTCAATATTAATTGCTCTATAGCAAATTGCCATTTTATTGAAACCAAATAAATTTACTTCATTTTCAAATATTGGAGAATCAGAAAAATCTAACTGATTATATTTGATAGTAAAAGGATTATATGATTGAAATAACAACTTTTTAGTAAAGTCTTCTGGGCATTTCAATTCTAATAATAAGACTGCTTGGCTTCTTAGAAAAAATGCACTAAAATTGGTTAGTACAAAATCAATTAAAATAAAATTCTTACTCTTTAATGACAAAACACAAACTCATTTTCTGGTGAACTATACGCTTGTTGTACTATTGATGGACTCCGTCCATCAACTTTTGTACTCCAACTTTTTATCCAGAATCTGTCTTCTTGAGAAAGTTCAGTAAGTTTAATCATTCTTTGAAGAATGATATCAGTATCTACGTTGTTCATGAGAAGATGGTTTAAGAAAAAAAAGTTTCTTTTCTTCTTTTTTTTTTTAATGAAAAAGAGTTAAACATTTAAAAAGGCATTGAGATCTTTTATAACCTTATTTTCGAATAAATATGAAAATTTTGATATTTATAGTTTTATTGAAAAATGATTGAAAATAATTATCTCTTAAAATGATTTCCATCTTGACTTTTTTTTTGTTATTTTATTCGTTTTTATCTCTTATTATTAATCATTTTATATTTCATTATGTAAAAGTTTGGTTTAACCTTTTCCTTTTTCAGATTTTTAAACGTTAATAACAGAACAAAATTTTTTAATTATTTTATGCAACAACTCATTGTAGAAATTGGTTCCACGTTGAAAGAGTATGGATTAAATGATTTAATGAAAGAAAATATTATTAATAGCATACTTAAATTACCTACCTTTCAACGATTGTTGATGACATACTCTCTATGTGGGAACACAGTTAGTCAATTTGATAATTCAAACCAATCCCCAAGACTTACTATTGGTATGAGAGGATTAAGCCCTCGAAGACGAGGAAATAGTTCAGGGGAATATGAAAAATTAAAAAATGAAAATATCATATTAAGACAAAAGATAGAGCAGTTAGTTAATGCAGAGAAAAAAGTTTTATTTATATCTGCTGAAGATAGTATTATTGGAACTAAGAAAAAAGTAGAAGAAAATGGAAAAGAAGAGTTTATTGAAATTAAGAGTGGAATAAAAGACTTTGAAACAATCACTTATAATAATCAGAACTATATTATTCGAATAGAACAAAAAGAAGATGTTTGGGTTGATGGTAAAACTCTTTTCTATTCCACTATAGGAAAAAATACGATTGTCTTACCTAATGATGATATTATTGATGTTTTACAATTGATGAATAACCAAAATCATTTTATTAAAAGAGTTCAAAGGAGTGATATTAAAAATATAAAACAATATGAAAATGAAAACCAAGATTATTATATTAATACATTCACTGTGGTTTTGATCAATGGAAACAAAAATAATTTAATTGACTGGCTCCAAAAAAAAGTTGATACAATTTGCAATACATCAAAACAAATAGAAGATGATTTTAATCAATTAAAAATTCAATTAAAACAAGTTATTCAAAGATCTAATGAAATTCAAAAGGAAAATGAAACTATTAAACAAACTCCTCAATACGTTAAAGATCTAGAGAGATTAACCCAACTTAAAAAATTAAATATTGATACAACATTTGAAGTTTGTTTGTTATTGAATATTATTAAATAAAAATAATATCATAGCCAATGAATTTCAATATCACTGCTTTGGAACAAAAAAGAATATTTATTGAAGATGTTTCTTGTGTTCATTATTTATTTGAAAAATATTTATTTATTAAGTATAAAACAAATAATCCGGAAGCTGTTATTTGTTTAATTAATGATGGAGGTAATGAACCTGCTATCGTACATAAAATTAAAAAAGGAGTTGATTATCCATTAACTATTGAAGATAAACAAAAGGCATTAATGTTTGGAAGAGGGAATGGTTTAAAAGCAAACGAAAATGATGAACTTCTTCTTCTTGACCCTAAAGAAACAACAAAAATTAAATGTATTACTTCTCCTTCTATTTTTGATAGAATTCATATAAAAGAAGGTGTTTATATAACTAGTGTTGATATTACTTCTTATGACAAAACAAAACCATTAGTTTTAGAGTATTTCTCAGTCACTACAACAATTCAATTAAAGAAAGAACATTCATTACAGTTATATAAAATGCAATTACCACAATCTTTAAATAAATCTGGGTTAATTATGTGTATAGAACAAGTAAAAGATACTGATATAGATAAATTTATTATCAAAACAAAAGATTCATTCGTTAAACCTCACACAAAACCAAAAAATAATGTTTTTTTCATTGAATCTTCTTCATGGATTTTAAAAACTAAATTTGCTGATATACCAGTTTTATTAATGATTCCATGGAAAGATGATCCTCTTTATAAAGTTTATTATTTTGTTTCAGAAGGTATTTCTCATCAAGTAGAAATTCACATATAACTCAATTAATGATTTTCTTTTCTAATTCTTCGTTTTCTTTTTGAATCTCTTTTAGTCGTTGTTCAACTAATTCTAATCCTCTTTCTGTTTCTTTAAATCGTCTTATTGAATCCATGACATGATATTCATATGCAGACATTAAAATATCAACATATTCATCTAATTCATAATCTTCTTCTTTAAAATTAACACTAGTGACTAAATCAAAATCTTGATGTCCATTTATTTCAATATCATATTCTTGTTCTTCTACCATTTATTATGAACTGAAAAAGTTTTTTACAACCCTAAATCTGTTTTTCTTCATTCATCATGTCTAATCAAGAATTCAATGATAATTTTACTTATTTAAATGAAGACCAAATTCAAAAAGGAAAGGAGATGGTAGGTTTGATAAATTCTTCTGGTTTTAATGATGAAGAATACACCGACGAACAATTAAAAGATATTTATAAAAGTGCCCTTCAATACTCTGTCTTCTTTTCTGAGAAAAAATTTAAAGCACTTAACGATAAATTCAATTCTCTTAGAACTCAATTAGAAAAAGAAGAAGAACGAAATAGTCAATTAAAGAGTCTACTTCAACAACAACAATAATTTAGGTGTATTGTTTGTCTTCATCTACATTCTAATATGTTAAGATACAATTATACAATTAAAGAAATAAACAACGGTACCTAATAAGTTGTTATTCATGGTTTAATCATTCTCTAAGAAATATAGAAATTTTATTAATAACATAATACTAATGAATAATTATAGAATATTAAAAATTCAAAGAATAATTTAAATTAAGACATATTTAAATTCATCTAATTATTATAACACTTCTATAATTGAAATAATTAATAGGAATATAATAATTTTTAACATTTATCTCAATATCTAATTATTATTCTTTGAGTCAATATAATAATTTTTTAGTTTAATCCATAAAAAATATTTAATAATATCTTCCCAATAATTAAAACTTGATTAAAAATGACAACTATCTTCCTTTTGTTTTTTTGTTAAACTCTTTTTACTCAAAAAGAATGACTCAAACTATGTTTACATTTTCTTATTTTATTCAAATCTGTAATGCGTTAATTGCCGTATTTAGGAATTAATAAACAGACTTATTATCTGTTATTAAAGAAAGTTTTTAAGAGCCATAATTTCTATGCAAGTAATGGAAATTTGCAATTAAAACGAATAATTAATTAATTTATTAAGAAATGTTCTAACAATGAGAAAGTATTATGAACTAAATGAAATAACTGATGTATAATTTAATTTTGTAACACTTATATTTTTCATAGAGACATAATAATTAAAAGAAGTAAATGAAAGAAGTGACAATGAACATAAAAAATAGTAAAAATAAAGGTTATGAAATGTTTTGAGTTAGAATAATTCAGACACAATAGTAAATGAGTAGAGTCTTAGTTTGAAGGGAAAAGTGCATGGATACATTGGTAGATTACTTCCAATGGAAAATGGTCAACTAAAACAGATGTTACAATTGAGAAGGTTTGACGAAGGATTTGTGATTTATAGAATGAATAAAGAGAATGTACTAATTTATTTAATGGTAAAGCAGGAAAATTAGAATGAGGGAATGAAAGATTGATATTTGAAAGAAGAGAATAATCAGTCATAGAAAAATGGATATTAAATTTATCAATAAATACTGGAAATAATTGAATTTGTGAATGTTCGTCTTTTTCATTTGGA